GGGCTGGGGTTTGCACCCTGCCCCGTGTTGCCCTCCCTCGGGAGGAGTCTGGGTCATGGCTGTGGCTGCTGAGAGCTAATATCGGTGTCAACGCGGGAAGAGATTTGTAATGACTTGGGGAAATGAGGGGGATTCAGTCCCCTCCTGCCCGCTGCGTGCAGAAGTGCCCCTGACCGTGGGTGCCCGGGGGTGGCAGGTGTGGGTGGGCAATGGGGGATGCGGAGCCCCGCAGAGCACTGTGCGGGCAGCTGAAATGAAGCCATAAAGCCTGGAGCTCCCTTCCTGGCCCAGAGAGTCATAAATTATGAAAATTACACCTGCCTGAGGCCACGTACTTATTGTTTTATTAACGTTTGGATGAGAGCAAGAGGAGGCGATGGGAGGGGAGAGCCCTCCTGGCCTTTTCCTCTGACCTGCACCCCTGGACCACACGGTCTGTCTGTGCTCACCCCGTTGGTGTGGCTGCAGCGTTCGAGCAGACCCCACTCTAACTGCTCAGCGTACAAAAAGCTCTTGTCCTAGAAATGAGAAGCACGACAGCAGGGAGTGGGTCTAAAATGTTGAGGGAGGCTCTGCAGGACGTACCTGCCAGCAAAATCCCTCTACGTGGCGGGTACCACTGACTTTGGAGGTTTTTTTGGGTTTTTTTGTTTTTAATCTCCAGCCAAATTTTCATACTACAAGTTGAGCTCTAGTGCTGCGGAAGCAGCAGTCTGACTTCAATGCAAGTCTCCCTGGCATACTTTAGAGGCAGAGGGAAGGAGACAATTGCTCCTACAAGTGGACAGAGTAGGGTATTCTCTTCATGGAGGAGCTAGCTCTTCCCCGCTGCAGGTAAATGGCGAGATATTTAAATGATGTGCACCCTGATGAGCCAGGCTGTAGGGCAGAACAACCCCAGCATCGCCCTGAGTTCCTCAGCCAGAATAAGAGGGGGCCGGAGAGCATCCCGGCGAGGGGCCGCATGCTCTTGGGGCTCCCGGTGGCAGCGAGGCTCCCCTCGCTGCGGCTCTGGTTGTGGGTGCAGGAGCTCCCCGCCGTGCTTGGGGCTCGGGGGTGCCCCTTCCCCTGGGAAGCGCTGCCCTGGCCACGGCTTTCCCGCACGGAGCTGGTGGATGAGGTGGCAGCCACATGGTGTGTATCACAGCCATCAACGGTGTGTATCAGGGTCTGCGATTCCCGTTTGGGTGAGGGGTCTCTGCACCCATGTGCTGGTGTCCCCGGGGCCAGCATGCCATCTGTGTTATGAGTTATCCCACCCGGGCTCTCGACTCTCTTGATCGCTCCTGGTGTGCATAGTATCAAATAACCGATTTTGGGCTACTCTCCGCTTGTATGTTTAGAATAATTGCTATAAACATTCTTTTGGAAATTTTTAAAAACCACAACAGCCACTTATATATTTAACAATATATATTTTTATATATATATATATATCATTTCTAGATCAGCTAGATCAGTACATTCATCAGTACTTGTTTTTCTTCACAAACAGAAGAACTCTTACAATAGTAGACTTTCTAAAATAAATACTATTAAAATAGAGCTTCAAAATAAATATTCTATACAAAGGAAACCTTCTGTGGTAACTTTTCAGGGTGTATATGTGGTGGGGTGGTAACAGGAGAAGGGGGAAACCTTTATCAGTGTGTCCGAGCGTGGGAGGGGAGGAGGAATACCCAGTGCTGCGCAAGGGTAAGGGCTCGTCCAGGTGAGAAAGCTGGTGCCCAGGGAGCGATGGTGTGGATTTAGTAGCTACTCCTTGTGCCTGGCGGGCGCTGGGACAGAGGGTGCGGTGACGGTTTGCTCGGCTGTTGAAGCCACTCTGCTGACGGTGAGCTCCAGCCAGGGATGCGGTGTGGCATGGCCTGCGTGCTGTAAAGTCACCCCTTCTTGCTCTCTGGGCCTTTGCTTCTGTGTGCGGGCAGAGGACAAAACCCAGCAATGAACCTGCTACAGCAGTTAGCAGTTCAGGGTCGTGATGCCGAAGTGCCCTGCCATCCTCCTCCAGAGCCGCTCTGCGGTGGCACAACATCAGTCCCGGGGGACCCTGCCCTCACCTCCCCTCTTGCCTTCGTGGTCCCACCCCACTGCGCCGACATGGCTGGAGAGCACATGTTGCGCCCGAGGTTTGTGCTAATTAGCAGCCGTTCGTCAGTTTGCAAGGGGGACATGACCCGCAGGGAGGATGGCCAGAGCTGCCACCTCCGTGCCCTCGCCGGGCCTGAGGTTACGTGGCACCATGCCTGTGCCCGTGGTACATCTCAGGGGTGGGTGGCAGGAGACCCAAGTACCTTAAAAGGGGATAGGGGAACGGAGGCGTTGGGATGGGGGAAGAGAGGGGAATAAAGACATTATTGACTGGAGACGTACCCTCCGCCAGCCCCGTGGCGCAGAGCCGCCAGCAGAGCCCCTGCTTCGGCTGGGCCCGAGCCTTTCCAAGCGCTCTGCAAAGAGCTCAGCGCTTTCTTGCCGTGCCTTGGGCCAGGAGCTGATGGAGCAGAGTCCAACCGCTGTGCCGGGAGGCCAAGGAGAAGAGGGAGGGTCGCTCTGCTACATTTACCACTGCTCTAACACATCCACTAACACTTTACAGTCTTCCAGCATGGGATCGGCTTACACCATAGCAGGATTTATATATTAAAAGAAACCAACAGAGAAATAGTTTACAACTATGTACAAAGAAAGGAAATCCATATGGGATTGCTGGGTGTATATACATGAGTGTAGATTGGCACAGTGGCGACCACTGCAGCGTTGTATTTGCTTGCAAGAACCATGCATCTAAACCATGGGCTTTGCTATTGCAGATTTTCAGCACAGACCCCTCAGGAACAGCCAAGAACAGAGGGTCAAAAAGGCAAAACAACCATAGGTGGAGGCCATTTGGATACGTATCGTCCCAGTAGAGGAGGGCAGCAGGTAAGTATCTCTCCTGCTGCGTTTTCTAGCCTGTTTGTATCTTAGGAAAATTATTTCTCTTATTAAATACAATACCTTATACATTCAACCAACAGTTCAGCTAGTTTGGGGTTGGTTTTCCTTTTACCCTTTCCCCTCTCATTTGTGCAAGATAATATGTACAGCTCTGGCTCCCCACCTGCTTTCTTCTTTCTGGTGTCCCCATATGGTCAACACGAAGATAAACTATAGGAATTGGTATCTGGTGACAGACGTAGTATCCCTTTCCCTATGATTTATCATATACAAGCTAGCAAATGTTATAAATATAGAAAGTTTTTTTTTAAATTCCTCATTCAATAAATATCTACAATTGAGCTTAACTAAAACCCAAGTCATCCAGGCTAAATGAATTCTTAAAAGAAAAGACACCAGAACTCCCATCAGTATGCTCCTGCCAACCCCTACACAGCAACTGTATTGCAACCAAGCAAATGGGATTCCTGGAAATGCTACATGAGCTCTGCCTATTGCTTATCTAATTAGAGATGACATTTCACTGTCACTGCTGTGCATTTACTGAGGAAATTTCCTCTAATTAAAAAAAAAAAAGAAAGAGATTAGATCAGTTTTCTGCATGCAACAAGTACCTACCTACTTATTACAGTGTTGCATGTTTGGACAAAGATTTTTATTTAGCACCTTGTAGTTGTCAAGAGAAAGGGGTTACTGCATCCTAAGGGAATGCAGAACAGGCCCTAGGATGAGTGCATGGACAAAGCTGATGATATTCACTTACTGTAAACCACGGGCAAATTTCTTAAATATGCTCTCTTCCCTCCCCTGGCTTTCCCTAGCATTTGTTAACACTAAAATAAACATTAAAAGCATTCTCTACATTTAAAAAGACACACTTCTGTACAGAGGAGGCAAAAGTCGAACAGCAGCAATAGAGATGGGGGAATGGGCTGTACTTCAAGCAAATACCATTCGTCCCCAAGACAAAAAAAATTTAAAATCTTAGTATTTAATGAGCAAAGAAGAGCTTGTTCCAGGAAAGGAGGTACTGGATTGATATCCCTATAAAAATACACCTATGTGTATCCTACACTTATATTTTTGTGAGTTCTTAACAGAGCTTAAGAGGTTTAAAGAACCAAACACTGAACATCTTAGTTTGTGGTGTGAGTTAAGATCCCCTTTGCTCCAGCACTGGGGGAGCAAGCTCGCGCATTGGGGAAACAGGATTCAGCCAACATCCTTCTGGAGCGGGTTTGTACTGTTGATATAAAATTAATATTCCACTGAATGAAACCTGATGCTACAGATCAGCTTACAGGCAGAAGGACACGATGTTTATACAAGTGCCTGAGCACATCCTGCCGCTATTCTTCCCAGGGAGGGAGCGGCCCTGCTACCATCTTGCTTTTAAAAAGAGGGTCCAAATCAATGTGGCCAGGTGGGTTCAAAGAAAGCAACACACCTGAATGCTAAGAGACCCTTAAACAAATGAACTGCATCTTTACTTCTGGCTCAAGATCTTTTGAGGGACACAGAAAGCTTTTGAGAAACATGTACTTTATGTGCAACTGGCCCTTCTAATAGTGTGCAGGTGGGGAAGGAGGGAGTTAACCCATCACCTTCAACAAGCTGCTGGTAGCAAATCGAGTTTGGAAGGAAAGCAAAAACAAGAAGCCCACCCTGAATACAATGAATCCAATGCAGCTTTCTGCAGCTGGGAATGGGTATTGCTTGTGCAGCCATGCCTGCCAAGCAAGCAGTTAATGGTTCTTGTGGTATGGTGAGCAGCCGTCTCTCCGTCCGAACCAGGAGTTTTTAAGCAGCTGTACTTCATGATATACATAGGTTTCCAGCCTTCACTCTACATTATTAAGATTCCTCCTTTGGCCCCATCTATTTAAATTCTGACCAGTTCCAAAACCCTGAATAACCCAAAGTGCTTCAGCTTGTGGAAATAGTTGCTTCTGCTTTCTCCAAAGGCAAAAGGCTAACGTTACCCTCAGAACACAGGTTATTAAAAAGAGCCAACGCCACCCGCCTCTGTGGAGCGTCCTCCCACTCCCCATCCTCCCAAACTATCAAAAGGGCTTTTCTGGCCTGCTTCCTTTGCTCTCCGGCAATGCCTTGCAAATGACACTGTTTGTGTTTTTGCATCTGCATCCGGGCCGGCTCACTTGGTCGTAGCATCTCTGGGACAGCTTGACACAGCCGGTGGCTGGCAGGTAGCAGAGCAAGCAAGGGAGCACCAGGGAGAGAGCGCTCATGAAGGACCAGCGAGCACAGCAGTTTGAGTGGGAGCAGGAGCAGGGGTGGTCGGCGCACGTGCCCTCGTCATCCTCGTTGGTGCAGTGGTAGAAGATGCCCTTGACGAGACACATGCAGGTGGAGTAGTTGACCAGGTTCTGTGCCGAGCAGAGGCACTCTTGGTTGCACACCCAGCACGAAGGCAGAGTCCGGGGTAGCGCGCACTCCTTACACTTGCATTTCCCACAGGCTTCGCACAGTAGAAAGTGCTTGTCCAGTTCCTGAGACACAGGTCCCTTCAGGTCCAGGGGTTTGCAGTTAATCACCTTGGGCTGAATGCGAACCGCTC